CATAAAAATTTTCATATTAATTCCTTGGAGAGGGGTATCCTAGCAAAGAAATGAAAAAGTATAATGGCATTGGCCTTTTTTTTTTCCTTTTTTTTTTTTTTTTTTTTTTTCTTTTCTACAGGTGGACGGTGCCATAAGTCCTGTACTGGCCGATGCTGGGGACCCACAGAATATCATTGCCAGACTTGTAAGTATTCAGTAGTGAAAACACAAAGGTTTGAAGTGGTCAAATAATTTTAATAATCAATTCTTCTCACAATTCTGATCACCTGAAATATGAAATGAACTTGATTTCTTTTTTAAAAACAAGCTGCCTACTTTCACTGATTTCAAATGGAACAATGTATAATTACTTATCATGTTTCTTCGTGGTTTCTAGGCTAATGATCACCATAGCACATTTATCATGACATTATCTATGACTTTGAAGTCTATATCAGTAAAACTGAGAAATCCACATGTACACTTGGTAATAATTTAATTTCAAATAAACTGAATATTTTAAGAACTTTCCAAAGTACTTGTCATTTATTTCTTATAAAATGAAAAATACAAAAATGAGCCTGCTATGTTCTAAACACTGAGCTGTGCACAGAGCTATAAAATACATGAATATGGAGCTGGAGAGATGGCTCACTGGTCAAGAGCACTAGCTGCTCTTGCAGAGGACATGGGTTTGATTCCCAGCACCTACATGGCAGCTAACAACCATCCATAACTCCAGTTCCAGGGGAATCTGACACCCTCCTCTGACCTCCATGAGCACTGGCATGACATGTATATATGTAGATATGAAGGCAATGCACTCATACACATAATTTTTTAAAGTGCCTCATTATAAATATAGAGTCACAATTATGAACAATTAATCTCAGTCTTGTGCTTCTTGAATCAATCATTACCCAATACAAGTATGAACTTGTTATTTTGCTAAGGCATTGAAACCAAAGGAGACCAAATAGAAAGGTAAGGATCTGAGGATGAAATTCAGTCATGCATCTTTTCTGTGCATGTGCCAAACCTGGTTTGATATTTTCAACATTCTTAAAGTTGTGCAATACTCAAAATAACACTGAACTTTTACCAAACTTAAGGATAAATAATTTCTTTAAAAACTGAAAGCTATCAGGGCATGGTGGCATGCACCTCTAATCCTAGCACACCAGAGGCAAAGGCAGACAGATATCTGTGAGATCCAGGTTAGCTTGGTCTACATAGTAAGGTTTCAGGGCAGCCAGGACTACAGGAAAAGCAAATTCCAATGAAAATAAAACAAGAACAAACTAATAAGCAAAAAACTGGTACTAAATCCATCTGGGCCTGGGTTTTTTTTGTGGTTTTGTTTGGGAGGCTTTTTGTTGTTGTTTCAACCTTCTTGCTTATTCTTTTTATCTCTTCTTGGTTTAACTTTGGTGTGTCATACACATTAAGAAATTAATCCATTTCTTTAAGATTTTTCTGACTTGGTGTAGTAAACGTCCTGGAAGTCTGTCTTTACAGTCCTCTGAATGTGATTCGTGTCTGTTGTAATAGCTCCTTTTTCATCTACAATTTTATTTATTTGGTTCTTTTCTCCCTTTTGGTTAATTTGGTGTAAGGACTAGCAATTTCGTTATTCAGAAAGATTTTAAAGAATCAGCTTTTCATTTCATTGATTATATTTTTCATGTCTATTTTATTAATTTGAGCTCTGATCTTCATATCTCTTTCCATCTACTGTGTTTGGATCTTGTTTTGATTTTCTAAGGCCTTCAGCTACATCATTAAGTAATTAATTTGAGACCTCTTAAATGTTCTGATGTATGCACCTAACACCATAAACTTTCTTCTTAGAACTGTCTTCACTGGACCCCATAGATTTTATTATGTTATAATTTCATTTTCTCTCAGTTCTAGGAATTTTGATTAAAAACTCATTATATGCACATATAAAATTCTCCAAAAGTAAAACAAAACTAATAAGCTGAATAAAATTAAGAAATGGAAAATAAAATGTAGATAGTAAGCATTTTTTCCTGCTTTTGTACCATTGGCTGAAATATATTGAGCATAGTGTGGTGGCTTTGAATACATCCTTTTATTAGCATAGAAGAAAGAATATATTGTTAAAGATTTTAACATGTAAAGATTACATAGGCCATTTGTTAGGGTGTTGGATGCAAGTTCAGAGATTTCAAATATACCTTACTTCATGACATTGTTTCAATAAAGAAATTTTAAAAAATAATTGCTATATTGTAAGCTGTCAATGGAAGAGAATAGGAAATATTAGATCATCAATGAGAAATAATTTTTTAAACGTTTTTTGAGACAGGGTCTCCCTGTAGCCCCAGCTGGCCTGGCCCAGCTGGCCTGGAACTCACTATGTAGATGAGGCTGTGCTCAGTCTCACAGAAATATGCCTGCTTCTGCCTCATGAGTGTTGGGATTAAAGGCGTGTACCACCATGTCTGGCTTAAACTTATTTTTAAATTAATGTGTGTTCTCATATTCAAAAGTCAAGAAACGTAAAAAAGAATAACATAAAGTTGTTTTCTTTGTTCTCCCACCCATTGCTAATATGCATTGTATTCTTCCAAAAACAGTTTGTGCAGATGAGGAAATATATTTATATGGCTTGCTCTTTTATCACTTAAAACCTCACTGTCCATGTTATACTATGCGTAACTTGTTTTTTTGTTACTGGGACAAGTACATGAGCGATAATGAATTTTAAAGAGAAAAGGTTTATTTGGGCTTACAGTTTTGAACATTCCAGTCCATGAGTAACTGGAGTTAGTGGTAGGGGATCCATTGCCAGGCAGTACATCATGGCATGAAAAATGTGGCAGAGAAAAACTAATGACTACATAGAAAGAAAGCTACATAAAGAAAAAGACCAGGGCCCCATAGTCTCCTTTGAAAGCACACTTCCAATGCTGTTAAATTACTCAGAAGTTCTCACTTCTTACAGGGTCCACTATCTCCAAACACACCATGGGCAACTGTAGCATACGCCCAGGCCTTTTCAATCCATGTATATGTGTATGGATTATTGGTAGTGTTAATTCTTATATTAATTCCTAGAAGTTCCATTTGTAGGGTTACAGACTTGTAAAACTACAGTTTGATATCAACATCAAATCATATTCTCTATAAGAATTATTGCCAGGAGGATTGTTTCTCAATATATGTTCCCCATTCCTTAGATAGACCACACTGGTCAAACTTTGGGTCTGGGTCAAAGGGTTAGATGAAATCCAATATCTGGGTATGGATTTAAATTAACTGATTTAATAGAAACAAGGTTTTAGAAAAAAAAGTGTTTTGATAAGAATTTTAAATAGAATTTTAAACTTTTGAAAGTAAGATTACATTACAATGTGAAATCTATTCACTACTTTCACTGTACTATTTAGAGACCAAGTTTTTTAATAGCAAAGAATTCCAAGATTCACGTGATGCTGAGCAGACACTGATATGGCCATGTATATTAACTCAAGATCTCTAAAATAATGAAAAATTACTACCACACTTAGTGATGGTGTGAGAAGGAACCATGCAATTTATCAAAGTACACAGACACCCGTGGGCTTTTCATGGCAAAAAGATTCTGACTTGTCAAAGCCTAAGGACAAGCTGTTAAATAGGACTGGGGAGATGGCTCAGCAGTTAAGAGTATTTGCTTCTCTTGAAGAAGACACAAGTTAAGTTCCCAACACTTACATCTGTTGACTCACGACTGCCAATAACTGCAGCTCCAGGGGATCTCACACCCTCCTCTAGCCTCCATGGGTACTCCCATTCACGTACACATATACTCATGCATATACACAAAAAAAAAATTAAAAATAAATCTTAAAAAATACTGTTACACATAAATTTTACTACTTGCTTCATTTCTTTATCATCACATAAAAACAGTGTGTGGCCATGATGCCAGTAACCAGGGGGAGGGATGAGTGTACAGGTCCTTCCAGCATCTTATCGTGCTGGACCTTTGTGGTAGGGCTGCCCACATTTATCATCTGTTGAGATTTGAGAAATACAGGTTTCAAATGTGTGGCCTTGTGATATTCTTCCACTTTATTTGACTATATCAGATTATGCTGCCAAAAGCCTTAACAAAAGTCATAATTATCACTAGCATTTCTTATAGTAGACATCATTCAACATAGTTGGCAAGCAAACATTTGACCTTTCTGAGGACCACTTCTCTTTTAGAAGGGCAGAGTCTGTCAGCATGTTTATTCTGTGTAACACTTTGCATTTGGGCACAGGACAGTGTGTCTCAGCAGACGTGAATTTACTCCACACCTCCAGAGGACGTTGGTAATATCTTTTGGGTGTGACAGAAGGGAGGGGAGGAGGACATCAGCTGGCACTAGTAGAGACCAAGGATGTTGCAAAATATTCTACAGTGTACAGGAGAGACTTTCCAACATCCACCAACAAAGGAATACTATACAGTATAAAATGTTAGCAATACTGAAGGCAGGGAAAGCTCACAATAAGAGTAAATAATTACTAGATCCAGGATGAGACTATAAATTTATCTCCTCATGAGAATTTAGATTTGGGATCTAGAGATAATGGTTATACTGCTTTAGAATTCTGAGCTTGAAGAAACAGTAATTGAATTTTTCCTCCTTTGACCCATGTGTGTTAATGAAAAAGAGATTACCAGTCTTCAGCCACACAGCAGAATAAAACAAGCATGCTGATTTGAAAAAAAAAAATGTAACAAGTTTTAGCAATTTTTATCTCCTATCTGGCCATCATGAGGGCTAGATACACTTGAATCCTCAGTTCCTTAAGAAGCTCAATGTTTTACAAGTGCATTTTCCCATTTTTGTATGTGATTGTGTATAGTATGAATATGTGATCTATATGTGTGTATGTGCATATGCGGGGGGGGGTCACATGTGTCTGTGTGTGTGAATGCAGAGGACAGATGAGGGTGGTCAGTGTGTTCCTTAATTCTTTCTGTCTTAGTCTCTGAGACAAGATCTTTCACTGAGCTTGAAGCTCAACATTTAAAATAAGCTGGCTGACCAGCGAGCTCCCATGATCTTCCTGTTTCATCATCTGAACACTAGTTAACTGGCATCATGGCCTCACACTGTGTTTCTATGTGAAGATTCAAACTCAGGTCCTCATGCTTGTATCCATGGAAACATCTCTTCAGCCCTACATGTACCTTTTCAA